TGGGCAAAAGGCCGATCTTTTTACCGATAAAAAATCTGCGCATGAGCTGTGACCTGGAGGAAGAAGAAGAAGGAAAAGAAGAAGAAAAGAAGAAGTAGAAAAAGAAGAAAAAAAAGAAGAAGAAGAAAAAGGAGAAAAAGAAGTAGAAGAAGAAGAAGAAAAAGAAGAAGAAAAAGAAGTAGAAGAAAAAGAAGAAGGAAAATAAGAGAAAAAGAAGAAAAAGAAGAAGAAGAAAAAGAAGAAGAGAGAAAAAGAAGAAGGGAGAAAAAGAAGAAGTAGAAGAAGAAGAAGAAGAAGAAGAAAAAGAAGAAGGAAAATAAGAGAAAAAGGAGAAAAAGAAGAAGAGAGAAAAAGAAGAAGTAGAAGAAGAAGAAGAAGAAGAAGAAGAAAAAGAAGAAGTAGAAATAGAAGAAGAAGAAGAAAAGAAGAGAAAAAGAAGAAAGAAAAAGAAGAGAAAAAGAAGAAGTAGAAATAGAAGAAGAAGAAAGAAAAAGAAGAAAAAGAAGAAGAAGAAAAAGAAGTAAAAATAGAAGAAGGAAAAGAAGAGAAAAAGAAGAAAAGAAGAAAAAGAAGAAAAATAAGAGAAAAAGAAGAAGAATTCCAGTCCGCTATTATATGTGACATGAAAGTCTTGCGGTTACAATGTATCTATTTGTATCCGAATATAAACATCTTTATCTGAAATGGATACAAATGGATACAAATGGATACAAATGGATACATTGTAACCGCAAGACTTTTCATGTCACATATAATAGCGGACTCTCTGCAGGGACAGAAGTAAATGGCGGCTGTAGACGGGATGATAATCGTCCGATTTTTTTTACCGTTGGTGGTAACGTTGGCCGACTGAACAACCGATTTTTTTTGTTTTTTTTTTTTAAACGGCAGGTTTTCTCCCCGTCTATGGCCGGCATTAGTAATGCCCATGTTGAGGGTTAGGCCCAAAACAACTTTAAATTCGGGATCCGTGATGGGTTTCCATGGCAATGGTCTGGGAAGGTTTGAGTTTTGGTTGGCGGTGATACATTGTTGTGAATATAAATTGCTTTGATCCACAATCAGCGCATACAGATATTCCGTGAAAAACAGCTCCAAAAATCAAGGGGAATAGTTAAATTTGCTATTTCCACCTGAATTCCGGGTTGGGCAGTGAATGGGGGAAGTACGGGGGCTGCAGATTCTGTGGTCTGCCAAGTGGGATTTGCAAGCACACCCTGAAGGATACCAGGGGCTCTATGGGCCTGTGTGTGAATTATTGGTGGTTGCGGCACATACTTGTACTCACCACCGCATCGGCTTGTACTGGACTTATGGGACTCACCACGTCACCAAGTCATACTGCAGTGCTGGTATGTAAAAGACCAGGATGTGCTAGGCCGGGATGTGCTAGACCAGGATGCACTAGAGCGGGATGTACTAGGCCGGGATGTGCTAGACCAGGATGCACTAGAGCGGGATGCACTAGGCCGGGATGTACTAGACCAGGATGCACTAGGCCGGGATGTACTAGACCAGGATGCACTAGGCCGGGATGTACTAGGCCGGGATGTACTAGACCGGGATGTACTAGAGCGGGATGTACTAGAGCGGGATGTACTAGACCGGGATGCACTAGGCCGGGATGTACTAGACCGGGATGTACTAGAGCGGGATGTACTAGAGCGGGATGCACTAGGCCGGGATGTACTAGGCCGGGATGTACTAGAGCGGGATGCACTAGGCCGGGATGCACTAGGCCGGGATGTACTAGGCCGGGATGTACTAGGCCGGGATGTACTAGACCAGGATGCACTAGGCCGGGATGCACTAGACCGGGATGCACTAGGCCGGGATGTACTAGGCCGGGATGTACTAGGCCGGGATGTACTAGACCGGGATGTACTAGACCGGGATGCACTAGGCCGGGATGCACTAGACCAGGATGCACTAGGCCGGGATGTACTAGACCGGGATGCACCAGGCCGGGAGGCCGGGATGTACTAGGCCGGGATGTACTAGACCGGGATGTACTAGACCGGGATGCACTAGGCCGGGATGCGCTAGGCCGGGATGTACTAGGCCGGGATGTACTAGACCAGGATGCACTAGGCCGGGATGTACTAGACCAGGATGCACTAGGCCGGGATGTACTAGGCCGGGATGTACTAGTGCAAGCCGGGATGTACTAGACCGGGATGTACTAGACCGGGATGCACTAGGCCGGGATGTACTAGACCAGGATGCACTAGGCCGGGATGTACTAGACCGGGATGCACTAGGCCGGGATGCACTAGGCCGGGATGTACTAGACCGGGATGTACTAGACCGGGATGCACTAGGCCGGGATGCGCTAGGCCGGGATGTACTAGACCGGGATGTACTAGACCAGGATGCGCTAGGCCGGGATGTACTAGACCAGGGTAAACTAGGCCGCTGGTACTCACCAGTTCACCAAAAGGTAGCGCGGCACTAGTACTGGCACTCTGCTGTATATGAGAACCATCATGTGATTGTAACATCTCAGCAACCTGGGAATGGGGTCGGTACGCCTGTCCTTAGCAGGGACCTCTCCTCCATTGTCTGAGCGATCTGTCAGAGTGTCATCGCTGTCTACAGGTTCGTGTTCTGAGGCGGATTGTGTCAGGGAGTCTCCCCTTCGCTCTCACCTGACATGCTCAGAATCCTGTAGGCCTCTTCACTAGAACCTTTTGTTGGACATTTGGGCCACTAAATGTATAGGTCCCTAGTGTGACTCACGGGAAGAAGAGCGCCTGGCTGTCAGGGACCACTACAAATGTACCTGCTAGTGCTAGCGGAGATCAGGCCTGATCTGCCAACACTGCGGTTTTGTGTGCAATGTATGAAGTGACAGGGACCTACTGACACTGCACTGGCTGGGGGAGGGGGGGGGGGGGGGGGGTAATCGTAGGGACTAAACGCAGGTGCTGGCAGGTGTCGGGGCTGATCCCGCTAACGCTGCGTTTGTGGGGACACTATACTACTAATGTGATCGCTGGTATAGCGCTGATCTGATCTGATATTAACCCAACCAGACACTATACTAGCAATGGGGGATTATGTATGAGCGTCTTCCTGGCAATCAAGGGTTAAATGTGAGTGGTGTACTGATGGGCAATCTGACACTAACTGAATCCTGACACCCCCCTCCCTTAATCCTGACTCCCCAATCCTGACCCCCCTCCCCCCCCAATCCTGAAACCCCCCTCCCCTAATCCTGACCCCCCCCCCAATCCCCCAATCCTGACACACCCCTCCCCTAATCCCGACCCCCCAATCCTGACACCCCCCTTAATCCTGACCCCCCCTCTGCAATCCTTACTGGTCCCTTTAGATGTGGTGGGACTTTTCAGGGAAACCTCCAAGAAATGGAGGGAGAATAGAGCGGGGTCCTCCCTACATTCCTATCAGACTCTCGAAAGAAAATGGCAGGAATGGTGTGAGGGGGTCACCCTGGGAGGAAGTGAAGGGAAATCCCCCATGGAGTCCTCCGGGATCGCTGCGTGGGCGGGGCCAGGGAAGGGACTCCGGGGGAGGGGCTAGATCTCAGGGGGAGGGTAGGCGGGTAATGATGTGCTGTGGGCGGGGTGTCAGTACGTGGAGGAGGCGGGGTGTCAGTACATCACTTCCGGTAGAGCGGTGTGGACTGGAGTGTGTCGGTGGTTCGGTGAGGAGGAGGGGGCGGGGGATATTATTATCCGGTGTGTTCGGGAGGGGAGGGTGATGATGAACGGAGGTGTGCTGGGGGACGGGTCAGTGTGGTGGGGGAGGGGAGGAGGTGTCTGGTCGGTGTGTGCGGTGGTGGGGGGGAGGGGTCTCCGGTCGGTGTGTTCGGAGGTGTCGGTGTGATGGGGGAGGGTCTCCGGTCGGTGGAGGAGGGGCGGGGATCTCCGGGATACATTGTATCTGGGGGCAGAGATCTCCGCACGTGGATGCATTCCATTCCATATGTTATCCTGACAGACCCCGCCCACCCCGACCTGTCACTCCTCGCCCGTCCCCGCCCACTCTGCGCTACAACGACTGTCCAGACTCCGCCTCTGCTGTCAGTCTAATAAACCCCGCCCCTCCGCGCTGTCATCTCTACACACTCCGCCCATTTCTTATCTCCGCTGTTTCTGAACCTATAACCCCTCCCCCATCTCCTTACTAACCCTCCCCTGCTGTATACCCCTCCCCATCTCCTTATTAACCCCTCCCCATCTCTTACCCCTCCCCCCATGCTGTATATCCCCTCCCCTGCTGTATACCCCTCCACATCTCCTTATTAACCCCTCCCCTGCTGTATATCCCTCCCCCATCTCCTTATTAACCCCTCCCCCATCTCCTTACTAACCCCTCCTCTGCTGTATACCCCTCCCCATACCCCTCCCCCCCATCTCCTTATTAACCCCTCCCCCCCATCTCCTTACTAACCCCCCCATCCTTATTGCTGTATATACCCCTCCCCCATCTCCTTATTAACCCCTCCCCCCCCTCTCCTTATTAACCCCTCCCCCCATCTCCTTATGCTGTATACCCCTCCCCCTGTATACCCCTCCCCCATCCCTTATTAACCCCTCCCCTGCTGGTATACCCCCCATCTCCTTATTAACCCCTTAACCCCTCCCCTGCTGTATACCCCTCCCCCATCTCCTTATTAACCCCTCCCCTGCTGTATAACCCCTCCCCCATCTCCTTTTTTTTGTACTATTAACCCCTCACTGTGCTGCCCCATTCTACTCATTAACCTCTTCCTTGCTGTCCCCCATACCACTCCCTCCATTAACCCCTCCCCCACACTGCCTCCTGCTGTATATGATGGGAGACCTGTGGCCCCATTGAGTAGAATTGTCCCCTCTTCCTGTCCCGGGGTCACCGGTAGACTGTTCCGCCCTATCACACGCCGTGGTTAGGAGGTCTCATTAACCCCTTCCTGTCCTCAGCAGGGTTCGGCTCCTCCGGCGGGATCATCTTCTGGGATGGGTAAGAGTGAGGATGAGGCTCCGGAGGGGGAGGAGATGAGCGATGAGGAGGTGTCACCTAATTGGACTCCGCAGGAGAAGGCATTACACGAAGCCAAAATGAAAGCCAAGGCCAAGCGCCGGCTCCGCCGAACCTCCTCCCGGGACTCCGCCAAGGGAATCGGAGAGCGCAGAATGCACCGTGGAACCGGTCAGCCCGCGGGGAAAGGTCAACGACCGCAAATCACGTATGGGCAAGGGGCGGGGCCTGCCGAAGAAAGGTGAGAGGACCGCCAAGAGAAAGGGAGGGGCCTGGTCAGGGTGGGGATTGGGTTGAGAATGGCAGAGATTGAGTAGGAACAGTGGGGATTGGTCGGGGTAGGAATGGTGGGGATTGGATATGGCGGGATTGGTCAAGTCGGAAATGATGAGGATGATCATTTGGGGACTGGCAGGGAAAGGTTTAGGTGAGCGCTGAGCAGGGTGTAGATTGGCCTAGGGTTCTAGGCCATGTTGGGGATGGGTGGTCCGGGGGGTGGTTAGCTGTGGCCCAACGTTGGGGAGGATTGGTCAGTGTGTGGACTGGTCTGGTCTAAGACGATGAAGATTGGTTGGGTGAGAATTGGTTTGGTCTAAGATACTGGGGATTGGTCAGGGTGTGGGTTGATCTGGTGTAAGATGACGAGGATTGGCCAGGTTGTACTCTGGACTTGGCCGGGATGGTGATTGGCTAGGTGGTGGATTGCTCTGGCCTAAGATGGTGAGGATTGGACTTGGCCGAGCTGATGACGATTGGTCAGGGTGTGGATTGGTCTGTGCTAGGCCTGGGTGGTGACGATTGGCCAAGCTGTGGAATGGTTTTTATTGGTCTGTGCCAGGATGATGACGATTGACCAGTTCTCACCATCCCAGGAAGAACAGAGTGTGGATTGGCTTGGTCTAGGATGGTGACGATTGGTCAGGCTGTGGATTGGCTTTGGCCAAAATGATGTGGATTGGCATGAGATAAGATGTTGTGGATTGGTCAGGGTGAAGATTGGATTGGCTGAGATGATGAGGATTGGTCAGGGTGTGGACTGTGGGCCAGGATGGTGGCGATTGGTCAAGGTGGGAATGGCAGGGATTGGTCAGGGTGTGGACTGTGGGGCCAGGATGGTGGCGATTGGTCAAGGTGGGAATGGCAGGGATTGGTCAGGGTGGGGACTGTGGGCCAGGATGGTGGCGATTGGTCAAGGTGGGAATGGCAGGGATTGGTCAGGGTGTGGACTGTGGGCCAGGATGGTGGCGATTGGTCAAGGTGGGAATGGCAGGGATTGGTCAGGGTGGGGACTGTGGGCCAGGATGGTGGCGATTGGTCAAGGTGGGAATGGCAGGGATTGGTCAGGGTGTGGACTGTGGGCCAGGATGGTGGCGATTGGTCAAGGTGGGAATGGCAGGGATTGGTCAGGGTGTGGACTGTGGGCCAGGATGGTGGCGATTGGTCAAGGTGGGAATGGCAGGGATTGGTCAGGGTGTGGACTGTGGGCCAGGATGGTGGCGATTGGTCAAGGTGGGAATGGCAGGGATTGGTCAGGGTGTGGACTGTGGGCCAGGATGGTGGCGATTGGTCAAGGTGGGAATGGCAGGGATTGGTCAGGGTGTGGACTGTGGGCTAGGATGGTGGCGATTGGTCAAGGTGGGAATGGCAGGGATTGGTCAGGGTGTGGACTGTGGGCCAGGATGGTGGCGATTGGTCAAGGTGGGAATGGCAGGGATTGGTCAGGGTGTGGACTGTGGGCCAGGATGGTGGCGATTGGTCAAGGTGGGCATGGCAGGGATTGGTCAGGGTGTGGACTGTGGGCCAAGATGGTGGTGATTGGTCAAGGTGGGAATGGCAGGGATTGGTCAGGGTGTGGACTGTGGGCCAAGGATGGTGGCGATTGGTCAAGGTGGGAATGGCAGGGATTGGTCAGGTAGGAATTCTGGGATATAATAAAGTGAGTTACAAACCTCTGCTTTTTCTCTACAGGGGGAGCTGGTGGAAAGGGGGTCTGGGGGGCCCCAGGACAGATCTACAGTTACCAGGAACCAGATATCCGGGACCCCAACTATGACGAGTCTGCCCAGGTGAGCAGCCATAGACAGGGAGGTACTATGAGTACATGGCGGGCTCCATGTGATATGAGGCCACCTCTCATGCACTCCCTTACCATGACACTGCATGGTCATCTCCTGCTATTCCCCATACAGGTCTGTCTGATTCCCCATGGCGGTCCTGCGTCTTCTTCATCCTCTGGTTTCGCTCCTCTTATCATGTCTGTCCCGTAGGGTGACACGGTGTACCAGAAGGTGGTGCCGGAGCTGGACGAGGCAGAACTCCAGAAGGCGGTCCATCCCATGGTGCAGGAGTACTTTGAACACGGGGACACTGGGGAGGTCATAGTGAGTATAGAGACCCAGATACAACATAGAAGGCTGGCCTCCACCCCGGGAACCAGCATCATGTCCTCACAGCCACCAGACCTAAAGTGGAGCTCCGGAGGATGGGGTGACACCTCCATAGCCAGCAGCTCTGCAGCTTCCTCCTTCACATTGGTCACATGCCTGTGCTTCTGTGGGGTCTGGTGGTCTCTTGAGCTATGATATGATATGAGGTCTTGGTTGGGTGGTCAGCCTGCCATGTGATTGGTGGACAGTTCATTGTGTGTGTCCTGATTATCTCCATCCTCCATTCCAGGCTCTCCTCCGTGGGCTGAATTTGGGCGGTCAGAGGCCAGAGGTCCCCCGTCTGGCTGTGTCTCTGTCCCTGGAAGGAAAGGCAAGCCATCGGGAACTGACCTCCCGTCTCCTGTCCGATCTGCTGGGCAAAGTGCTGACTGAAGAGGACATGGCTCGGGCCTTTGACAGGCTGCTCATCAACTTACCTGACCTTATCCTGGACACTCCTGAGGCTCCACAGGTAAGTACGTGCCCGGTGTTCGGCCAAGTGCTGCCCTGCCCATTTCTGGGTGACCCGAGGCCTGTATGGTTTGTATGGTGATAAAGATGATGAAGAGTGGGGGATGGAGTCAGAGTGGGGTCAGGGAGGGTCATAGCAAGGGGTTGAGAAGGCCATAATGAAATGAGGAGGGTCAGGGAACCAGGGCAGGGAACCAGGGCAGGGAAGGTTACAGCAGGAACTGGCGGTGGGGTAGGGTCATAGTGGAGGGACTTGGGGAAGCTTACAGATGGCATGTGCTGCCAGAAGAGGAGACATTGGGGTTAATTTGGAGCAATTAGGTTGAACTGAAGCTGTGAATGATGGAAAATCTCCAGTTTGAGAAGGTTGGAGCTGTTGAATATGCAGAGGAGGATGTTGGGATTGAGAAAGATGGGGCTGGATATTGTCAGCTATAAAATTGGTTTGAGGATAATGGTGGTCATTAGGATGAGGATGTCCTTCAATAGTGATGGTTTTTGGAATGACAGAAATATGGAGGCATTGGTTCTGAGTGTCCAAGGTTGGAGGAGAAGAATTTCTTGGAGGGTGATTTGGGGGAGGAAGTAGTTGGAATTGAAGATGACACAAATGTTGGAAGGTGGAGTGATGGTGGGTGGACTATGGGGATGGAGGGAAGGCTTAGGAGATTTACAAATCAAGGATGAGGATGGATGTATCTTGTAGACCTTTTTAGCTTTTGTACCATCGCCATTAACTTTTGGGTGGTAGAGGATAAAGGGGACCTTTTGACGTTGAGGAGATGGACAGCAATGAGGATGTGAACACTGGGACTTGGAATGAAGCAGATAATGTGGATGGAAACTAGGAAGGATAAGGGTTTGGATGGTGTATGGTACCATCACCAATACACTTGGGGTCAAGGGAGTCATTGAGGATGAGGAAGACCTTTTTAATGTTGAGCAGCAATGGGGGCACTGGGACTTGGAATGAAGCAGATAATGTGGATGGAAACTACGAAGGATAAGGGTTTGGATGGTGTATGGTACCATCACCAGTAACCTGGTGGTGGAGGGGGGGGTTTATAGATGATGGTGAGGACCGTTCCATGTTGAGAACATGGACAGTGATGAGGATATGAATTCTGGGGCTTGGAATAAAGCAGATAATGTGGATGTTGGATTCTGGGAAGGATGAGGATTTCAATGGTGGATGGTACCATCACCAAAACCTTTGGGGTGGGAGGTGGTATTGTAGTAGATGAGAAGGACATTTGATGTTGAGGAGATGAAGGACAGCAATGAGGATGTAAACAAAGGGACTTTGAATGAAGCAGATGATGGGATTGTTGGAATCTTGGAAGGATGAGGATTTCAGTGGTGGATGGTACCATCACCAAAAACTTGAGATTGGTTGTAGAGGATGAGGAGGACCTTTTTATGTTGAGATGGACAGCAATGGATGTTGGTACCTGGGAAGGATGAGGACTTGGATGGTACCATCACCAATAACTTGGGATGGGTTGTAGAGGATGAGAACGACGTTTTGATGAAAGACATTGATGAGCGCCTACATGTTGGGACTTGGAATGAAGCAAATAATGTGGATGGAGACTAAGAAACATAAGGATTTGGATGGTACCATCACCAGGAACCTAGTGGTGGGGGTGGTGGTAAGGAAGGGGGGTTTAGAAGATGGTTAGGACCTTTCATTTTTGAGGAGATCAAGGACGGTGATGGGGATGGTAGAAGGAACCATCACTGAGAAGTTGTAAGGTGACCCCAGGCTGATGACGGGGCTGTCGTGTCTTGCAGATGCTCGGACAGTTCATCGCTCGTGCTGTGGCTGATCACGCATTGCATCTTAATTTCCTGGACCGATACAAGGGACGCGTTGACTGTGATCATGCGCGGTGAGAGGGGTGGTGGGATCTGGGGACTTGTCTGGGGCGAGGGGATTGTGTGTTGATTGTCCAAGCCATAGACCAAGCCTTCCTTGTGCTTTTTACTAATAAAACATTGAGATAATTGTAGAAGGAGCCCCACATCCAAAGCACTAAGTCCACAATAAAATCCAGGGGTGGAGCCATGATAAGGGGATTGGCCCGTGAAACGTGTTGGCAACACCTCTAGATTTCATTCGACAATTCTTATCAAATGAACTTTGAGCTCGGACACTTACCTTTGGATGTGGCACTCCTACTCCTCATCCCGGTATTAGTCTGAACCTGTAGAACCTTCTGCATATGTGAGCTGCCTGCCCGGTGTGGACATCCATGTCCATCCATACAATGAATGGAGGACTCAGGATAATAGAAATAAATGTGATATTCCACTTCCACACTCACTTCACCCTGCGGCCTGCCACTAATGACGAGTCCGCTATCACCTGACGGGGGGGGGGGGGCCCTGTGATCATTGTGTGGGGGTGGGATAATGTGTAAGGAGGAACCACGTGTGTGGGAGGGACAGCACAGACACTGAAGGGGAGGGGTTCACACCATGGACACTGTTCAGTTATGGGACTGGAGGGAGACTCCATGCAATGGATAGAACACTGCAGAATTGTAATGAAGGGGGTGGTGTGTAGGGAGGAGCAACATAGACATCGTACAGGGGAAGGGGGAAACCACGGACCAGTGCGAGGAAAAAGGACACCACTGACACTGCATGGGAGCACCATGGACATTGTACGAGAGTGGGGACACCATGGGCGTGGTACGAGAGTGGGGACACCATGGGCGTGGTACGAGAGTGGGGACACCATGGGCGTGGTACGAGAGTGGGGACACCATGGGCGTGGTACGAGAGTGGGGACACCATGGGCGTGGTACGAGAGTGGGGACACCATGGGCGTGGTACGAGAGGAAATGACACCATTCAGTCCAGCGTGTCATTTTGGTGCGGGAAGACGTGTTCTTCTATCTGTATATACACACCGGGAAGACGTGGTCTCCTATCTGTATATACACACCGGGAAGACGTGGTCTCCTATCTGTATATACACACCGGGAAGACGTGGTCTCCTATCTGTATATACACACCGGGAAGACGTGGTCTCCTATCTGTATATACACACCGGGAAGACGTGGTCTCCTATCTGTATATACACACCGGGAAGACGTGGTCTCCTATCTGTATATATACACCGGGAAGACGTGGTCTCCTATCTGTATATACACACCGGGAAGACGTGGTCTCCTATCTGTATATATACACCGGGAAGACGTGGTCTCCTATCTGTATATACACACCGGGAAGACGTGGTCTCCTATCTGTATATACACACCGGGAAGACGTGGTCTCCTATCTGTATATACACACCGGGAAGACGTGGTCTCCTATCTGTATATACACACCGGGAAGACGTGGTCTCCTATCTGTATATATACACCGGGAAGACGTGGTCTCCTATCTGTATATATACACCGGGAAGACGTGGTCTCCTATCTGTATATATACACCGGGAAGACGTGGTCTCCTATCTGTCTATATACACCGGGAAGACGTGGTCTCCTATCTGTCTATATACACCGGGAAGACGTGGTCTCCTATCTGTCTATATACACCGGGAAGACGTGGTCTCCTATCTGTATATATACACACGGGAAGACGTGGTCTCCTATCTGTATATACACACACGGGAAGACGTGGTCTCCTATCTGTATATACACACCGGGAAGACGTGGTCTCTATCTGTCTATATATACACACCGGGAAGACGTGGTCTTCTATCTGTCTATACACACCGGGAAGACGTGGTCTTCTATCTATATCTGTCTATATACACACCGGGAAGACGTGGTATCTGTCTATATACACACCGGGAAGACGTGGTATCTGTCTATATACACACCGGGAAGACGTGGTATCTGTCTATATACACACCGGGAAGACGTGGTATCTGTCTATATACACACCGGGAAGACGTGGTCTGTATCTGGTATCTGTCTATATACACACCGGGAAGACGTGGTCTCCTATCTGTATATACACACCGGGAAGACGTGGTCTCCTATCTGTATATACACACCGGGAAGACGTGGTCTCCTATCTGTATATACACACCGGGAAGACGTGGTCTCCTATCTGTATATACACACGGGAAGACGTGGTCTCTGTCTATATATACACACCGGGAAGACGTGGGTCTTCTATCTGTCTATATACACACCGGGAAGACGTGGTCTTCTATCTGTCTATATACACACCGGGAAGACGTGGTCTCCTATCTGTCTATATACACACCGGGAAGACGTGGTATCTGTCTATATACACACCGGGAAGACGTGGTATCTGTCTATATACACCGGGAAGACGTGGTCTCCTATCTGTCTATATACACACCGGGAAGACGTGGTATCTGTCTATATACACCGGGAAGACGTGGTATCTGTCTATATACACCGGGAAGACGTGGTATCTGTCTATATACACCGGGAAGACGTGGTATCTGTCTATATACACCGGGAAGACGTGGTATCTGTCTATATACACCGGGAAGACGTGGTATCTGTCTATATACACCGGGAAGACGTGGTATCTGTCTATATACACCGGGAAGACGTGGTATCTGTCTATACACACCGGGAAGACGTGGTATCTGTCTATACACACCGGGAAGACGACGTGGTATCTGTCTATACACACCGGGAAGACGTGGTATCTGTCTATACACACCGGGAAGACGTGGTATCTGTCTATACACACCGGGAAGACGTGGTATCTGTCTATATCACACCGGGAAGACGTGGTATCTGTCTATACACACCGGGAAGACGTGGTATCTGTATATACACACCGGGAAGACGTGGTATCTGTCTATATACACCGGGAAGACGTGGTATCTGTCTATACACACCGGGAAGACGTGGTATCTGTCTATACACACCGGGAAGACGTGGTCTCCTATCTGTCTATATACACCGGGAAGACGTGGTATCTGTCTATATACACCGGGAAGACGTATCTGTCTATATACACCGGGAAGACGTGGTCTCCTATCTATATACACACCGGGAAGACGTGGTCTCCTATCTGTATATACACACCGGGAAGACGTGGTCTCCTATCTGTATATATACACCGGGAAGACGTGGTATCTGTCTATATACACCGGGAAGACGTGGTATCTGTCTATACACACCGGGAAGATGTGGTATCTGTCTATACACACCGGGAAGACGTGGTATCTGTCTATATACACCGGGAAGACGTGGTATCTGTCTATACACACCGGGAAGACGTGGTATCTGTCTATATACACCGGGAAGACGTGGTATCTGTCTATACACACCGGGAAGACGTGGTATCTGTCTATACACACTGGGAAGACGTGGTATCTGTCTATACACACTGGGAAGACGTGGTATCTGTCTATACACACCGGGAAGACGTGGTATCTGTCTATATACACCGGGAAGACGTGGTATCTGTCTATACACACCAGTGTTGCTTGGTTCAGGTTTATATAATTGCACTTCTGTAATTGGCTCTGCTGGACATGTGACATCATCTTCTCGTCTTCCCTCAGGGCTGCCTTGGACCGCGCCGCCGTCCTTCTTAGGATAAAGAGAGAGATCATCCGGCTGGACAACGTGTGGGGAGTCGGAGGAGGACAGAGACCTGTGAAACATCTCGTCAAAGAGGTAACCCAGCGGGGGAGGAGGCCTGAACGACCTCTGACCCACATTCTAGATGCCTACATACCGTACAATGGCATAAACGTGTTCTAGGATGGGATCTATGATCCGTGGTGGGCGGCTGCATTGTGTGTCTTCGGGGATGAGATCCATAAATCAAGGATAAGGATGAATTGTATCTTGTGGACCTTCTTAACTTTTGTGCCGCCACCACGGACTTTGGGTTGTAGAGGTGAGAAGGACGTTTGATGTTGAAGAGGTGAAGGACAGTGATGAGGATAGGACTACAGGGACTTGGAATGGGGATGGTGGAACTAGTGATGGCACCATTGCAGGGTTATGGTCACCATAGTGGGGGTCAGGGTTTAGTTTAAGGGTTAGAATTGGGGTCAGGGTAGACTGAAGACCATTTTGGGGTCAGAGCTCAGTGGAAGGGTTAGCAATGGATTTGGGTTAGGTTGGGGACCACAGTGGGGTCAGAGCTCATTTGAAGGGTTAGCAATGGGGTTAAGTTAGGTTGGGGACCACAGTGGGGTCAGAGCTCATTTGAAGGGTTAGCAATGGGGTTAGGTTAGGTTGAGGACTACAATGGGGTCAAGTTTGGTTGAGGACCACAGCGTGGTCAGAGCATAGTTTAGGGGTTAGAATTGGGGTTAGGTTAGGTTGAGGACTACAGTGGGGTCAGAGCTTAGTTGAAGGGTTAGATTTGGGGCCAAGTTAGGGTGAAGACCACAGTGGGGTCAGGGTTTAGAATTGGGGTCAGGCTAGATTGAGGACCATTTTGGGGTCAGAGTTGAAGGGTTATAAATGGATTTGGGTTAGGTTGGGGACCACAATGGGGTCAGAGCTCATTTGAAGGGTTAGATTTGGGGCCAGGTTTGGGTGAAGACCACAGTGGGGTCAGAGCATAGTTTAGGGGTTAGAATTGGGGTTAGGTTAGGTTGAGGACTACAGTGGGGTCAAGTTTGGTTGAGGACCACAGTGGGGTCAGAGCATAGTTTAGGGGTTAGAATTGGGGTTAGGTTGAGGACTACAGTGGGGTCAGAGCTTAGTTGAAGGGTTAGATTTGGGGCCAAGTTAGGGTGAAGACCACAGTGGGGTCAGGGTTTAGAATTGGGGTCAGGCTAGATTGAGGACCATTTTGGGGTCAGAGTTGAAGGGTTATAAATGGATTTGGGTTAGGTTGGGGACCACAATGGGGTCAGAGCTTATTGGAAGGGTTAGAAATGGGGTTAGGTGGTATTGGTGTGTTGGGTGAGATTTCGGATGGGAGGTTCTTCACTGTGAGCATGCTCACGTCCATCGCCAGTGTTTGTCACGTAGAATCAGGAGACCTCAGTCAGTAATGACACCTTGGTCACCGTCCTTCCAGATGAACCTTCTCCTCCAGGAGTTCCTATCATCGGGTCAGATGTCTGAGGCGGAGCGATGTCTGCGGGATCTGGAGGTGCCCCACTTCCACCACGAGCTCGTTTATGAGGTATCGGCAGCAGAATAAAGTTTTGGGTTGGAATATAAATTGTTGGAATATTTGGGAGGAGATGAGGAAATGTGAGGCCACCAATCAGAGAGGAGCTGTCAGTGGAATCCATTCCATCATTGGTGGGTTTGTGTGGAGACCTCCAAACTCTCTGGAGTCCCGGTTCTGGGATGGTGTCCGGTGGGCAGGGAAGTCCTCTTAACTCTATGAAGTCTTGGGTGTGTAGAGAAAGAGATCTGAGCCACAGAGAGCCTTGTGACTCCTCTCAGAAACCCCTCACTGGCCACCAACAGACACAAACCTCTGGGATCGGTATAGGATGGCAGGCATTGTATCTATGGTACCGGTACCCGGGGGAGGGGGATACAGACATGGTACACCTCGGGGGATGCGGACACGGTACGCCTCGGGGGAGGGGGATGCGGACACGGTACGCCCCGGGGGAGGGGGATGTCTACACGGTACGCCCCGGGGGAGGGGGATGCGGACACGGTACGCCCCGGGGGAGGGGGATGCGGACACGGTACGCCCCGGGGGGGGAGGGGGATGCGGACACGGTACGCCGAGGGGGATGCGGACACGGTACGCCCCGGGGGAGGGGGATGCGGAGACGGTACACCCGGGGGAGGGGGATACAGACATGGTACACCTCGGGGGAGGGGGATACGGACACGGTACACCCGGGGAGGGGGATACAGACATGGTACACCTCGGGGGAGGGGGATGCGGACACGGTACACCCGGGGAGGGGGATACAGACACGGTACACCTCGGGGGAGGGGGATGCGGACACGGTACACCCGGGGAGGGGGATGCGGACACGGTACGCCCCGGGGGGGGGGATACAGACATGGTACACCTCGGGGGAGGGGGATGCGGACACGGTACACCCGGGGAGGGGGGATGCGGACACGGTACGCCCCGGGGGAGGGGGATACGAACACGGTACGCCCCCGGGGGAGGGGGGATACGGACACGGTACGCCCCGGGGGGGGGATACAGACACGGTACACCCGGGGAGGGGGATGCGGACACGGTACACACCCGGGGAGGGGGATGCGGACACGGTACGCCCCGGGGGAGGGGGATACGGACACGGTACACCCGGGGAGGGGGATGCGGACACGGTACGCCCCGGGGGAGGGGGATACGAACACGGTACGCCCCGGGGGAGGGGGATACGGACACGGTACGCCCCGGGGGAGGGGGATACAGACACGGTACAACCGGGAGGGGGATGCGGACACGGTACGCCCCGGGGGAGGGGGATACGGACACGGTACACCTGGGGGAGGGGGATACGGACACGGTACGCCCCGGGGGAGGGGGATACGGACACGGTACACACCCCCGGGGGGGGGATACGAACACGGTACGCCCCGGGGGAGGGGGATACGGACACGGTACACCCGGGGAGGGGGATACGGACACGGTACACCCGGGGAGGGGGATACGGACACGGTACACCCGGGGAGGGGGATACGGACACGGTACACCCGGGGAGGGGGATACGGACACGGTACACCCGGGGGGGGGGGGGATACGGACACGGTACGCCCCGGGGGGGGGGGGGGGGTATGGGGACACGGTACGCCTCGGGGGAGGGGGATGGGGACACGGTACGCCCCGGGGGAGGGGGATGGGGACACGGTACGCCCCGGGGAGGGGGATGGGGACACGGTACGCCCCGGGGAGGGGGATGGGGACACGGTACGCCCCGGGGGAGGGGGATGGGGACACGGTACGCCCCGGGGAGGGGGATGGGGACACGGTACGCCCCGGGGAGGGGGATGGGGACACGGTACGCCCCGGGGGAGGGGGATGCGGACACGGTACGCCTCGGGGGAGGGGGGTGCGGACACGGTACACCCCGGGGGAGGGGGATGCGGACACGGTACGCCCCGGGGGAGGGGGATGCGGACACGGTACGCCCCGGGGGAGGGGGATGCGGACACGGTACGCCCTCTCTGGGATTGGTACATGGTAATAGGATACATTGTATATATTGTACTTCATATACAAGTCATGTATGTATGATCGGCTCCATCATTACTCGTCCTCAGGCGGTGGTCATGGTGTTGGAAGGCTCAGCCGAGGGCCACGTCATGATGGTGGTGAAGTTGTTGAAGGCGTTGTATGATAGCGGTCTGATCACCCTGGACCAGATGAACCGGGTAACGTGTCCTCATGTCTACCATCATGTGTTACATGCGTGTGCTGAGCTCGGTGCTCACTCTTCCGTGTCCTGCAGGGGTTCCAGCGCGTCTACTCGGAGCTTCCTGATCTCAGCCTGGATGTACCAAATGCCCAGAACGTCATGGAGAAACTGGTGGACCTGTGTTATCAGGAGGGGGCCATCACCCAACAGCTGCGGGACCAGTGTCCGGTCAGGTGTGTGTGAGGGGGGGGAGCTTAGAGGAGGCGTCCTTCCTGTACCTGAGGATTGAGGGGGAGGAGCTTAGAGGAGACTTCCTTCCTGTACCTGAGGATTGAGGGGGAGGAGCTTAGAGGAGACTTCCTTCCTGTACCTGAGGATTGAGGGGGAGGAGCTTAGAGGAGGCTTCCTTCCTGTACCTGAGGATTGAGGGGGAGGAGCTTAGAGGAGACTTCCTTCCTGTACCTGAGGATTGAGGGGGGGAGCTTAGAGGAGGCTTCCTTCCTGTACCTGGGGATTGAGGGGGAGGAGCTTAGAGGAGGCTTCATTCCTGAACCTGGGGATTGAGGGGGAGGAGCTTAGAGGAGGCTTTCTTCCTGTACCTGAGGATTGAGGGGAGGAGCTTAGAGGAGACTTCCTTCCTGTACCTGGGGATTGAGGGGGAGGAGCTTAGAAGAGGCTTCCATTCTGAACCTGGAGATTGAGGTGGAGGAGCATAGAGGAGGCTTCCATTCTGAACCTGGGGATAGAGTGGGAGGAGCTTAGAAGAGGCTTCCATTCTGAACCTGGAGATTGAGGGGGGGGAGCTTAGAGGAGGCTTCCTTCCTGTACCTGGGGATTGAGGGGGAGGAGCTTAGAGGAGGCTTCATTCCTGAACCTGGGGATTGAGGGGGAGGAGCTTAGAGGAGGCTTTCTTCCTGTACCTGAGGATTGAGGGGAGGAGCTTAGAGGAGACTTCCTTCCTGTACCTGGGGATTGAGGGGGAGGAGCATAGAGGAGGCTTCCATTCTGAACCTGGGGATAGAGTGGGAGGAGCTTAGAAGAGGCTTCCATTCTGAACCTGGAGATTGAGGGGGGGAGCTTAGAGGTTTCCTTTCTGAACCTGGGGATTGAGAGGGGGAGGAGCTTAGAAGACTTCTTGTATCTGGGGTAATGAGTGGGGAGCTTAGAGGAGATGCTCATTCTGGATCTGCTTATTAATGGGAGGAGGAGCTTAGGAGACCTCATTGTATTTAGGGTATGAATGGTGGGAGGAGCTTAGAGGGGACGTCCTTTCTGGGTATTAATGGAAAAAGGAGCTTAGGGGACCTCCTCATTGTGTCTGGGGTAATAAGGGGAGGGAGGGGCTTAGAGGAGACGTCCTTCCTGTATCACTGAAGGAACATGGAGGCCTCCTCATATCCATGTTATTGCTGGTAGGCTGGGATAACGAGTCTCCTTCCTATATCCAGGGTGTCAGAAAACAGTCAGAGCTTTGAAGGGCCCTCTTCCTCTCCCGGGGTCATGGGAGGAGCCTGCTTTGTGTACGACTGTGGAGGAGGAGTTAAGGCAGCCTCCTTCCTGCCGCCATGTTTGGATCATGTGATCCTATAACCACCATGCCCTCTCTCCCGCAGGGGCCGCAAACGTTTTGTGAGCGAGGGAGATGGAGGACTCATCAAACAGTGACTGGACCCCTCCCCCCTGGCCTGGAGGTCAGAGATCCGGGGGAGTCCGACATCTTCTGGTGTACAAATAAACCAAAATAAAAGGGGAAAATGGGAAATGACTGGCTGGTGTCTTACTGGTGAGCTGTGCTGAGGGGTACATCAAGGTTCATGGAGACCATACAAACCTCGTCCACCACTGAAGACCTCTACAATGACCCCCCCATACACCACCGATTAGCAGGGCCATGCCTCCCCCCATTAGCAATTTCATGACCCCCCCGCAATCCATACACCACCAAGCTTTACCTACAGCAGTTCCAGTTCACGAGAACTATGGCTACCCCGTGTCTCCCCTTGTGTAGTGAGGTGGCCTCCTTATTGGCCCTTCTAAGCCTGCTGGACAAGAAATGGTGGGAAATACAAAGTTGCCCAGGTGAGTGTAGACTTTGCTGACACCCACGAACCAGCAGTGGTAGCCATCTGAGTGTCATCCCTGGTCCTACAACACCTGATGAAGTCTGTAAAGGGCTCACTGTGAGCTTCTAGACCAGTACCCCCATCTGACTCCCCACCATACCTGATGAAGACCACCCAATGGAAAGGCCTCGCTCTCTGCTTCTAGACCAGTACCCCCATCTAACTGACTTCCCACCCTCCAATGGAAAGGCTCTCTCAGCTAGACCAGTACCCCCATCTAACTGACTTCCCACCATACCTGATGAAGACCACCCAATGGAAAGGCCTCGCTCTCAGCTTCTAGACCAGTACCCCCATCTAACTGACTTCCCACCATACCTGATGAAGACCACCCAATGGAAAGGCCTCGCTCTGCTTCTAGACCAGTACCCCCATCTAACTGACTTCCCACCATACCTGATGAAGACCACCAATGGAAAGGCCTCGCTCTGCTTCTAGAGGCCCATCTAACTGCTCCCCACCATACCTGATGCTTCTCTGCTAGACCAGTACCCCCATCTAACTGACTCCCCACCATACCTGATGAAGACCACCCAATGGAAAGGCCTCGCTCTCAGCTTCTAGACCAGTACCCCCATCTAACTGACTTCCCACCATACCTGATGAAGACCACCCAATGTAAAGGCCTCGCTCTCAACTTCTAGACCAGTACCCCCATCTAACTGACTCCCTACCATACCTGATGAAGACCACCCAATGTAAAGGGCTCTCTCAGCTCCTAGACCAGTACCCTCATCTAACTGACTCCCCACCATACCTGATGAAGACCACCCAATGGAAAGGCCTCGCTCTCAGCTTCTAGACCAGTACCCCCATCTAACTGACTTCCCACCATACCTGATGAAGACCACCCAATGGAAAGGCCTTGCTCTCAGCTTCTAGACCAGTACCCCCATCTAACTGACTCCCCACCATACCTGATAAAGACCACCCAATGGAAAGGCCTTGCTCTCAGCTTCTAGACCAGTACCCCCTATCTGACTCCCTACCATACCTGATGAAGACCACCCAATGTAAAGGCCTCGCTCTCCGCTTCTAGACCAGTACCCCCATCTAACTGACTCCCTACCATACCTGATGCAGACCACCCAATGGAAAGGCCTCGCTCTCCGCTTCTAGACCAGTACCCCCATCTAACTGACTCCCCACCATACCTGATGAAGACCACCCAATGTAAAGGGCTCTCTCAGCTCCTAGACCAGTACCCCCATCTGACTTCCCACCATACCTGATGAAGACCACCCAATGTAAAGGCCTTTTTTTTTTCAGCTTCTAGACCAGTACCCCCATCTAACTGACTTCTCACCATACCTGATGAAGACCACCCAATGGAAAGGCCTCATTTTCAGCTTCTAGACCAGTACCTCCATCTAACTGACTCCCCACCATACCTGATGAAGACCACCCAATGTAAAGGTCTCGCTCTCAGCTTCTAGACCAGTACCCCCATCTAACTGACTTCCCACCATACCTGATGAAGACCACCCAATGGAAAGGCCTCGCTCTCTGCTTCTAGACCAGTACCCCCATCTAACTGACTCCCCACCATACCTGATGAAGACCACCCAATGGAAAGGCCTTGCTCTCAGCTTCTAGACCAGTACCCCCATCTAACTGACTTCCCACCATACCTGATGAAGACCACCCAATGGAAAGGCCTCTCAGCTCCTAGACCAGTACCCCCATCTGACTCCCTACCATACCTGATGAAGACCACCCAATGGAAAGGCCTCTCAGCCTCTAGACCTGTGTCTGTCACTCATTGATATGGGCCAATAGGAAGATTAAGGGGGTAACCTCCTCTACCTGCTGAGTCTACTGATGGACCCCCAGATACCCCCCAATCCCTGACCACCGCCTTTCATGGAAATATACCTCACCTGTGGAGCCCACCCTTGGAGGGACCCCCAAATATCCCTCAATAGAGGAGTGTTAGGGGACAACAGTTCCTGCAGGGAATGCTGACATCACATCTCAGACGGTAGCACCGCCCCCATCATCACCAATACTGAGAAACTGCTCTGACAGGAAAGACCTCCTCCGCTATACTGCTGGTAAATGCTGCATCCTTCCATACACCGTTACACTGCTATGGCAGTAAAGACTTCCTCCCAATAGAGCCAATATTATCATCCTTCCTCTGTACTCAGATACACTGTGCAGGAAAAGACCTCTTCCCTATACTACTAGTATAACCATGCTTACTCTATACACAGCTACAGCGCTCTGACAGGAAAGACCTCCTTCTTGTACTGCTGGTATACATATTCTTCCTCTGTACACAGCTCTGACAGTAAATACCATCTGCCTCTACTATTGATATTCTGCCTGCATACACTGCTCTGACAGTAGAGACCTACTCCCTACACTGCCAGTAAAATCATCCTTCTATACACTGCTATGGCAGTAAAGACTTCCTCCTCATACAGCCAGGGTAAAGATTCTTCCTCTGTACACAGCTCTGAGTAAAGATATTTGATATTCTCACCCTCCCCCCATACACTGGTCAGACAGTAGAGACCTACTCCCTATACTGCCAGGACAATCATCTTTCCTCAACACACAGCTACACCGTACTGACAGTAAATACCCCCTCCCTATACTGCTAGTAAACCATACCTCCTACGTACACAGCTACACTGCTCTGACAGTAAAAATTCCTCCTTCCCCCCATACTGCATTAGGCTTCTGATAAGTGCCACCTCCATACTGCAAAAACCATTCCTATTACCTCTCCATACACACAGCTCTGACAGTAAAGAGATCCTCCATATGGTACCTGCTCCCTCTACTGATATGATCCATACCTTCTATGGATAAAGCTATAGTGCTCTGGCAGTAAAGACCACCTCCTGTACTGCCAATATAATACCTTCTCCTTTGCACTGCTCTGACAGAGATCAACTCTCTTCTCTGATATGTTTTCCTCCAGTTACCACTCTGACAGTAGAGACCTCCTCCCTGTAATTCTGATATAATGCCTCCTCCATTACGCTGCTCTGACAGTAGAGACCTCCTCCCTGTATCTCCGATTGTATTCCTCCTCCATTACGCTGCTCTGACAGTAGAGACCTCCTCCCTGTATCCCCGATGTAATGCCTCCTCCATTACACTGCTCTGACAGTAGAGACCTCCTCCCTGTATCCCCGATGTAATGCCTCCTCCA